AGATATGGAATAAGCTACAACTAAACGTTCACGATGGATGGTGCAAATACAATGCGCGCCAGTCAAGCCATCAACAACTCCACAGACGATTTGGATCTTTGCTTAGAATCATTTTTCCTTTCTGTGTTCGTGTTTCGAGAAGGTGGAAGATCTAGATCCATTAGTATGTGACCATCAGCGGGAACCTGAGACGGAAACTTGCTTGAATCTTTTCAATGGTTACCGGAAGTATGGTTGTCATGCGCGAGTGTTGGATCAGCCATCGGTGCAGACACAAGTCCCACTGTCGTTGGTCAGGACAGTAGCATTGACCTGGAATTCATGTCAGTTGGCGTTTAGCAGCAAAAGAGAAGATGTCGAATCATTTCACATAGCAAGATTTTCGGATGCAAGAATTTGCCAAATAGATGGTAGAAGTCGTCAGCATCAGGGAACAGAATCAGATGCAGGAATAATTACCATGTCTTACGAAGATCGAAATGCCTCGAGGTCCATACTTGAAAGGGCACTTTGGCAAGTCGAAAGGAGGGCTAGTCACGGGCCAATCATGCAAGCGGGCCCCTTTGTTCTCTTCCTCACATGTCCAGCTTTTAACCCGAAGTCTCTTTACCAACTTAGTTCTTAACAAGTTCTATTATTGTTAACTATCTCTAGCTCTTAAGCACATTATGAGCTCGTAGAGCTAGTTCTATTCAATGAGAGGCGAAACAGTCTTGCTTACAAAGACACATGGGACACCAACTTCACACAGGTGATTCAAGAGAAGGGAGGCTAAGGATAGGTGATTGCTAAAAGTACAATTCCGCCTCAAATCGGCATGTATTCCACCCTTCCAGTTCTCACGCTAAAGCTCTCCACACTTGTACCAACAACAGTCTTGTCATACCCAGATCTTTTTTAAGTAGCTAATAATACAACAAAGAAGAAAGAAATCTAGACGCCAACCTTCTGATTAAATTCCAATCGTACATGAGTATCCTTCCATGCCTATCAGCCCCAAATCAAAAGCCTGCTGAAAACTCCGAAATCCAAATTTCAAAGCTTTCCACACTCCAAACTCCAATATCATCACAACGAGACACGCTACTCGAAACATTGTTGTCTGTTGTTCTATACTCGAGGGTGTCCAACCTCTACGCGTATGCCAGTCCATCTTTACTGTCATGGGATCATTTGGCGTTCTGTCAGTCTTCGTACTAGAGTCAACGTGTATCGAGCTTTCTTAGTCGGCGTGCTTCTTTTTGCCGAACCTCTTAATGTGTGACTGGCAAATTTGTTCCACCCGAATTGCCACATTTTCGCCTCAGCTCTTCGACCGGTATATTTATCGGAAACTAGTGCTCTTGCACAAGCTTCGCTGCGCTGTTGTTGTTCCGGCTCGTCCATATACCGATGCGTATGTGATGATATGGAATGGATTTTTGCCCAGTCTGCGAGATTGATATTCTCTAGGCCTCCAGATACATTGAAACGATGGTATCTATCAATCGACAATTCTCGGTACATCTCTGCGGCCACCCTTCCGGAGTCACTTGCCATGTCTTTGAGAGCTAGCAAGATTGATGTCCGACTATCCCCAAGATCAATGTTCGCTTTGAGTCCACTCCCAATGCTCAGCATAGTGAACTTGTCAGGCTTGCATTTGGGGAAGAGGGTTTTTGCTTCGTCCAATAGTATCCGGCATGGGTTATTGTATCCGAATCCAGCGTCAACAAACTCGACACCATCTCGACCACAAGCCATACTCTCGAAGAAAGTGGTTGCAGCTGATGTCGCGCGCGCTATTTCCCAGATCTTGCATTGTGCCATCTGAGGGTTTGTTGAGTAGGTTTTGAAGAGTGTTGGAGGACCAGATAAATCGTCCTTTTTGACTGCGAGGACGACTGTTTTGCAACCACCTTTCATTCTGTAAAGGTGGTTTTCGTGGGGGCAGGATTGATCCTGACATTCGTTCTTCTCACACTGTTGAGCTATCACAAGTTTTAGAGCCTTTTCTAGAGTCTCGGTTGAGTATTGTCCTTTTGGTTGTACGGGGAATAGCCAGCCGGATTTTGGGGTGAAAGCTAAGGCTGAAAGGGACTTGTATGCCTCAATACACTCGTGGACCGGCATTCGCAGCCGACCAAGCATTATTGCAATGATCCTATGAAGATCATATTAGCCTTACTCCACTATTGGGTGGAAGGTGTTCATCATACCCTCCTGTGCTGGTACCGCCAATGAGATCAAAGTACTCGCATGGTAATGGTACCTCCTTCAATTCCTCAATATCTCGGACTTTCTCTAAGATTGATTCGAGTATTAGAAGCTCAGACAAGCCACGGACACCCCCTCCATCTATTTCGTCATTAGCTGGATTCCGAGAGGGGACAGACGTTGGATGAACTAACCTAGGGATAGGATGCGAACCATATTGCTCCTTTTCAGGCAGCTCCCAAAGACAATTGTTCGGAGCAATTCGATGGATTTGCCAGCAGACTTGACGAAAGCACTTACGAGAAACAGCTCAATTAGGCCTCTAGACTTGCTTTCAACTTGCAGCAAGATTAAGGTGGCGGGAAGATAAATCAACAAGATGGTTGCATTCGTATGAGTTAAATTGAAGTGTGCAACTGAGTATATAACCATTTTTATGCGCCCAAGAGGACTGCATCGCCACCTTTGTTCCAATCACGAAACTCGATACCAACTTGTTGACCCACCCTTCACAGGTTGTGTGCTAGTATCTATAGAATCTAAATACTGTGTGAAGAACTCCGGATCCGTCTTTTGGGCTGACTTAGGGAGGCTGACAGCACCCCACGAGGTCAATATCTGTTTCGGCCATATCAAAACGCTGCCGCACTGCTGAGTCTGCGTCCTCCCAAATGGCCTTCGAGAAGATCGAATTAGTCACGCGACACTTGCTATCACGCCCGTCAGCCTGGTTGTTGTGGGTTGGAATGTTATGCCTGGAGTTCTGTTGGTTCACAGTGGTCGAGTCGCTTGCTCAGGAGGCCAACCCCATGCAACCGCAGAGTGTTAACCGCGGAGAACGCTGGCTTATGCACCGACGATCTAGACAAAATGAGTGGTCTAGAATTCTTACGATGAAAAGGATATAAGGCGATGCTGTTTCCGATTATGAAAATGGTGGTTTTGACCTCCCAGCATCAGAACCATATCACGAAATGGCGAGAATTTTTGAGCATGATGATATATCATCTGACGGGGCAGTGTCTAGAGCTGGGGCTCATGGCAACTTACATTGACAAGGTGATGGAAGAACCACAAATGTAAGCCAGAGATGACATTGGGATAGTTTCTGTTTCACGACGATATTCGCTAGTCTCAGTCAGCCCTGAATGTATCTGGCGACGACATCTCGCTTCGCACCCAACCTTATCTTGTTCTAATTCAGGGCTTTGTTGTGTCTAAATAAATAGACACTAAAACATTTGTCGTGTCACCAATTTAGGCGGTTGAAGAGCCAGTTTATCGGGAGACCGTTTCATGAAAAAGAAACCATTTGTTGTCGCATTGTTACTCCTGCTTACGATTGCCAAATGACAAACGTTCGCCGGTACTACTTTTCAAATTACATATTTGCACTCGCTTAAGCTCATCTTGCATAGCTTGGAAACGCAGGGTGCACCAAAGCATACAACATCGAGTTCCGTGCGAAGAGCTTCTAACCTCTTAAAGCTGATAATGTTTTCGCTCATCCAGCATCTAGCTTAGTCCTGGCTCAAAATACCTTTTAAGAAAGACATGCCGGATTTTCCAAGAACATTTCTTAACACAAGCAAGGAAGATGTATCGTCTGGTAGTTGCTGCACGATTTCCCGCTCGGTGTGTCACTACCGGTCTGCAGGAAGAGGTCATAATATCCGCCGGTAGAGGTGCTACAAACGAGAAAGTTGAGCTCTGGGTGTTTGTCAGTCGATCTTCAAGCAACTTAGAGCAGTAATAAACATACGGCGACCATAGCTGCTTTTGGTGCCAGTGATGATGGTGTCTCCTTCTAATGCCCACGCCGTGGTTGTCGCAGTGGCGCCGAAAGAGAGGGGCTTGTATGACGCCGTATTTGTGTTAATGTTGAGGAACATGGAGCTGTTCTTGCTTTGGATAGTTGACCCAATGTTACTGTGCAATGTCAGATATTATCCTGTGAGAAGGATGTCTTCCTAGACTCAGTTTTGCACCCACAAGTACTCTGAAGTTGATTCTGGACCCATAACCGGAATTGATCTATTGGAGGGCAGGCCTTGCAAATACAAATGGAAAATAGGGCTTTGGACACCTCGAATCTGGTATGCTTTCGTTTGGCGGGGGTGAAGCTCTGCTGTAGGCATCGCAGATACCAAAGCCGCAAAGGCTATGAATAGTGTAATGAGGGAAAGCATGTCGATCGTAACTCGAAGAAATATATACAGTGGAATGTGGAAGATCACAAAGAAAGCAGCCTGGGAGGGATCTCATAGCTTTATCAGAAATACGGGACCAAAGGCGCCGTCATTATCGTAAGGACAGTCATATGATGTTCCACTTTGATGGTTCACCATCCGGACAACTTCCCGCAATATCGAGGTGGGCCGCAAATTGAGGCTGAATTGACTTATAAGTTAGGCATGACCAGCAACATAGAATGACTAAAACCACAAAATTGCCCAGAGTCTTAGCTCGAATCAAACAGCGGCTATAGAGCCAAGGTGATCGGTGCGATTGTGTGACAGTGTCGTAGAAGTTCAGGTTAGAATAAGTACAGATAAATTACAAGTAAAGGAGTTCTTAATCTTTTCGACAATAGGTGCTGTTTCTCCGAGTCTGGTAGAAGTGGAAGACAAGTTCAGAACTTCGTCGTCTCTTTCAAAAGCTCACGCTTGCCCAGATCACCCTCCATTCGGCCATGCAGAGACTTTGGTATTCAAGATCGGTAGATTTAGCTCATCTCTAGCAAAGCTTGAAGCGAGAGACGGAATATTGCAAAAATAAGAAAGAAAAAAGCAAAAAGAAATCAATGTCCTTGGAGAGACTCGAACTCTCGACCTTTGGATAGCCAACTTGTTAAACAAGTTGATCATAAATATTTTATATGAGACCAACGCTCTAACCAACTGAGCCACAAAGACTGTGATTGGTTAAGCGGGGAACGTTATATAAATATACAAAGCTTTTTTTTAGGTGGCCCCACTTGCGCGGTCCATGCCATTCCTTTCACCCCTACTCGAGTACGTCGGCGCGGCAGCAGCCGAGAACTCATTCCGCCTCGACCTACATGAGGGCTTGTATACAACCTCGTCTCAAACCTGCGAAACTTTGCGACGATACCTATCGAAGCTCGAGATAAGCTGCGCATGGCTTCGATATACCGGAAAGGCTTACGCGACCGCGATCATTAGGACATGGCCCGCAACGGCTATGGGGGTTATGATGATGCTCCCTATACCAATGGGAATGGCAATGACAATGGCAATGGCAATGGGAATGGATTGGGCGCGCCGATAGGGTTTGGCCTCCCGCCTGGGGACGAGGACTACGATCCATATGGCACGAACTACGAAGAGAGGTTCAGCACGCCTCCAATCCCAACGAGCTCTCCACCAGTATCTCGATCCGCATATTCCCGCCCTCAGCGAGCAGCACCAGAAAGTAGCGCCGAGCGTAGGATTGGGGAGGATCTTGAGAGAATCAAAGAAGAATGGCCTGCCATGTACCAAAACGAATGTGTGCCTGTTCATGTTGCACTGCAATTACTAGACACCAGTTCTGTGGGAAGGGCGCACGAATATAGGGAATTCGAGATGATGCACAGATCTCTCCAGGAGTCTCTGAAAGCTATCGTTCATGAGCACCATCAAGGATTCAATAGTTCGATAGGAACCTTTCACAAGATCCAGTCAAGCATATCGGCTTCCCAGAAAAGAGTTCGGACATTGAAGGATTCTTTGGCACAGTCTAAAACCAACCTTTCGACATCGGATCCTGAATTACGGAAATTGGCAGCTGCCTCAAGCACGTATGATAGGTTGTTGCACACCTTATCGGAAATCGAAGACCTAAGACTAGTTCCCGATCAATTGGAAGCAAGAATATCCGAGAAGCGGTTCCTGACGGCGGTGGATATACTACAAACTGCCCTACGTCGTATAAGGGTGCCAGCATTGGACGAAATTGGAGCTTTGAGCGACTTGAGGAGTTACCTCACGAATCAGGAAACGGCACTGACCGATATTCTGATCGAAGAGCTCCACGATCATCTCTACCTCAAATCACCCTACTGCCAGGATCGATGGCAAACCCTGGCGAAAGATCAAGGAGGGGCCAAACAAGCGCAAATGGACGTGAAGACCCCTATGCGACCGTTCTATCAGATTTTGGATGAGATAGACTTCGCCAACCCTATGGTTGAGGACCTATCGAGGAACCCAGAAGCAGACACTTTTTACTACATTGGACTGCTGGTGGAAGCTCTTAACAAGCTAGGCAGACTCGAGTCCGCTGTGAATACAATCAAGCAGCGTCTTCCAGTGGAGTTGTTTGGTATTGTGAATGAGACCAACACAGAGGTTGATCAAAAACATCCTAGCTCCTTGCGTGGCGGAATATCCAATTCTCAGGGGAACCAGGCCTTTGGAAGCCGAGAAAACAGTATCCGAGCTGACGTTATTTACGATCTTCTCTGGACTTTATACGCCAAGTTTGAGTCAATTGCAGAAAGTCATCGTGTATTCCACGATGCTGTGAAAGCGATCATTCGTCGCGAGGGAGCCAAAAACCAGTCGGTGCTGCTCGGAGGCTTTCGAGAACTTTGGAATCTGTATCAAAATGAAATACGGTCCTTGCTACATAATTATGTCACCACGGACGCAGACATTTATCAATCTGACTCTGCACCTAAGCAGGGAGTATGGAAGCAGAATTCGAAACGAGAGCAGTTATTTCAATTCTCAGATGCCGATTCCAAATCTGTTCAAATGACAACCGAGTACCAGGACTTGGAGGGCATTATAAGAGCGGCAGTTCCGGGACTTATGTCAAAACAAGGTGGTGATGTCAAGAAACCAACAACAAACAAGAGCGATGGAACCTTAGGGCGCAATGACTCTCGACGAGGAACTCACAATGCGGGATACGATAACAGATCCGGCGGAATTGGCGCGCACAAGTCCCTTGTGGAACCCAGCGTTTTCAACATGAGCTTGCTCTTACCTCCCACATTGGGATTTCTTCAACGATTGAAGAACATTGTTCCGCCAGGATCAGATCTTGTTACAAGTACCCTCACGTCTTTTCTCGACAATTTCCTTGTCAACGTCTTTCTTCCTCAGCTGGACGAGACACTAGGCAAGCTTAGTGATTCCGTATTCGAAGAATCAGATTCATTCCAGCAAGATTCACAGTGGACCAAGGTTGCCAGGCGGCCTATTTTCAAAGGAACCTCGGCGTTCTATTCTCTCATTAAAGCATTCTGCAAAATGCTGGACACAATTCCCCATGATCAAGCACTAAGTCAACTTATCATCACTCAAATGATGCGCTATTATGACCGTTGCTGTGACTGGTTCACGTCTTTGGTATCTCGGGTCCAAGACACGGATGGCGCGACTTTAAAGCTCTCAGCGTTGCTTGCAACCGGACCGGGAGAAATACATGATACTATGAAGAAGCTGTGGTCTTCTGAAGGTGAAGACCAACATCTCCTCGAGAAAGAGACAGGGTTGCTTATCTTGCAAACCAACGAAAATCCAATGCGGCTGGACGACATAATACTGGATCGTGAAACCATATCCTCCTTGTGTATACTGTACACGAGCATGAAATGGCTCGCGATCAAGGTAGATCAGCTCCGTCATATTACCCGAAATGATACCGATTCCTCTCGAACATCGATGCAGAAGCCAGCGAATAGGCGATGGACGCTTCTGAATGATCCTTCAATTGTGCAGGAGGAATCGGGCCCCGTCTACCTGCCAATGACCCAGGAAACGGTAGTGTAAGTATTTGATATGTATACTCTTAGCGTAGTGAACTGACAATGCTCAGGGCTTTCGACTCTATCGTCTCGTCGTACCAAGAGCTTGCTGGGACAGTCTTACTGACATTGCACCTGGAGATCCGTTGCCAAATCATCCATGCACTCACAATCGCACTGTCTCCAGAATCCGCCCCATACTTACTTGAACAAGTTGTCAACGATCCAGACCCAAAGATATTAAGTCTTAACGCCGATTTGGCTTCATATGAGGAAACCGTCGTACGCTTCTTGTGGGACAAAGAGATCTCCTTCGTTCGTACAGGACTTGGACTCTTGATCGACAGCTTCCTAGTCACCAACGCTGGAATGGTAAAAGCTATGAATAGTCACGGATGTGGGCGGATGCAATTGAACATCCTTGTACTGCAACAAAATCTCAAGAATATCGAGGCCGACGTCAGTCTTTCCAGAGCAGCGAGGTTCTTTGATATCTTCACCGAAGGGCCAGATGCAGTGATCAAGCAGGCCAGTGAAGGCACAGAGGCCGCAAATGGAGGCAAAGAATTGTTTAGCTATGACGAACTGAAGACCCTGGTCGAGTTGTGTTATAGTGCACAAATGGCGAGCCCTGAACGAGGGATCAACACGGTGGCAAAGAGAGGCATGGGAGAACACCTTCTGCAGTTGAGTGAGCACATGTGGCAGAGCTAGATAGACGGATAGGACAAAAGTTATGTTTATACCACTGCATTGCATAGCGTTTGGAGCGAAGTTATTTGAGCTCTATAATAATTGTTTGTAGAATATGCATTACACCGATTTTAGGTCCGAATGATTCTAGAGGTGAACTGAAATGGAGCCATCCAGACATGGCATTCACCCTTTTAAGCATTTATCTCCATGATTCAAGCTCCAACAAGCTTACTGTAGATATCTCCCTCGGCTCAGATTGCCATCCATCAATATGCGAGTTCAATCATCAATGGCGAGTTTCTTTGAGGTGTGCCAATCAAAAATGCGGGGTTGAATAAAAATTTAAGATTGTTGCCCTGTGCCGTCTTCAGGATCACCACCAGGGATCGGGATGAACAGATGAAAAGATTGGAAACGCGTCTCATGCATTTCTCCGAGATTTCCATATCTATAAATACATCTCATTCACGTGAGAGAAACAGTTAATACATTCAAATAATAAGGTGTCTTGTAATTTCATTCCTCGTGTATTTTCTTATCATTTATCAAAAAAGGGGTCAAAAAGGGGAGGGGAGGCGCTTGAGAGTTGTGATACTAGTATCAAATGCAGTGTGACAGCATGCCAAGGGGAACACCAGTTGGTGACATACCGCTACTGTACTCCGATGTACGATGAAGTTTTGCCTCTGTTCTCTGTCTCTTATGTGGAAGAGGGCGAGAAGTTTTGAAGGTCTTGTTGGGTTGGTGTGTTGTTCATGAAACACGCCGCAGGAATAAAAACATATAGGATCAATTTAGTATGATTTTACGCAAATTGCTTCGCACACAGGGCTCAGAGGGGCAACTGGGTTTTAAGGGATTTGCTTCTCGTGGTGTGGAGGAGCTGCTCGTTCAGCTGCGCCCACTGCGTGATGATTGCGGCTATACCCTCGTGTTCTTACTGTGTGTGCTTGTTGTTCTTTCACGGTGGTTCAATGGATATGTCTCTTACTGGTGTCAGCTGGAAAGCGACATATGCTAGATACCAAGGCTTAACGAGTAAGGGGGCTGTTGCAAAGTGGCGGTAATGCTCGAAGCAGGGACAAAAATAGTCCACCACGCCTTCGACCCAGATTCATGATTCATGAAACATTACCCATTCACTTTCACCACAAGACCTGACATTTGATTCGTCTTGCTGTCGCTCCACCATCATAAACGTTTCCTCGGTCTGTAGGTACTGTACACTGCAGCAAAATCCTGTTCACGATAGCTCCGGCATTGTCTCGGTTAACGATTCTGCCCCTTTTATTGGCCTTCTTCTCGCTAATTTCATCCTCCGCTACTGTACCTCCGTACGTAGTAGTAATTGTATTCCGTCCTCCTTCTCCCTCCTCCCCTCCAACTCTCCAATCACCCGCCCCTGCTAGGAAGCGAAGTTCCTTGCTTTCATCTTTCTTCTTCTTCGTTCTTCAAGCCTTA